TATCTAGTGAATTAAGAGTTGTTTCAAATAATGACATTTTGTCTAGTGCCAACGGTATCTTGTCTACCCTTAATGTTGGACAGACAGCAGTAAGGACACACAAGATACCGTTGGCACTAGAAGGAAAGGCAGAATCTACAAATTTTTTAGTCACTTTCAGTCCATTTTTCTTTGCTTAACCTGAAACCTTAAAGAGACTATTCACTCTTTCTGAACTTTTCTTTGATCACCTTTAGAAACATCATGCAACAATATTTTATACTTGATTTTTATTTAAATAAATTTTTTTTTAAATCTGGTGCAACATATTTAATACCCATCCTCCCTAACATTGAAACAGCTGTTTTATTGTCTTATTCTTCTCTTCATGTAACTCCTCCTAATTACTATAATTATTTTATTGTTATAGAGAATCCTGTTTTAAAAGGTACCAGTTCAGAAGAACAAGTCTACAAAAGTCTATGTAAATCTTAAACAAATCTGCTACTATTTTATCATCTTTTACTATATTTCTCTCTCTCTCTCTCTCTCTCTCTCTCTCTCTTTCTATAACAGTTTTTATCTCACAAAAAACTCTCAGCTGTGTGTTTGTGGGGGATGTTCTCATAAAATAACATGATACAGACAGAACACAGCTGTTTTTTACAAATATACTCAAGACAGTGGCAACAACCAGCCTCACAGACAATGATTTCCCCAAATCATACCACTCATCAACTGAGTAATCAGAAAAGGAAAGCAGACCATTTGCAACTGAAGGGAGACAAAATCTGTAATTGAAATCTGTCCTCTCATGGTTTTAGTCAAATAAATTCACAATTTCTAAATTTGACAAATGCACATTCATCAGATAAGTATTTCCAGGGAGAAGAGATACTGTGGCTAACTCCTGTAATAAGAAATTTAGCTTGACATTTTAATACAGGGAGATGGATGAGTATGTTGATAAGAGGAAACGCCAAGCCAGAATAAAACATACACCCTGTTCAAAAGGATCAAATCCAGCAGTTTCAGGGATTAGGATTGTATGTGAAGAAACTATATTGAAATCTACAAATGGGAAGGTGGGCTCAGAGTTGAGCGCTCTGAGTAAGAATCAACAGTTCAAGAGAAAAGAAATGTAGTACCTTGGGAGGTAACTTAGGGTAGGAGAACAGCATGCAAGAGAGAGGAAGAAGGGGAGAGAGAGAATAATTTTCAAATATAGTCATAGAACAGGATATGGTCAAAATGGGGAGTAGAGTATCCTGGTATTTACTGCTGTTCTTATAAACTAAATATCTGATAAATATTTGCCATACCTTGCTGGATATTTTATTATTCAGAAAGTAGATAAAACTAGAGTAACAACTGCCATTTATTAATTACTCAGTTCCAAGCACTATACTAAGCAATTTGTATATGTGATCCTATTGAATTATTTCAACCATCAAATATTATCCTTATTGTATAAATAAAGAAATTAAAGCCCAGAGACATTGATTGCACATGTTAAAACAGCTAGGAGGTAGAAGAGAAGAATTTGAATCCAAAGCCAATGTTCATATCCATCCCTCAAAAGTAGAAAAATAAAAGTCTTAAGGAAAAGGTAAGCCTGTTAATTTAAATGTTAGAATCAGACTTGCTGCTAGAAATTAGGAAAAGAGAATTGTTTTTATTCAAATGCGGAGGAAAAATATATGGTTTCATGAACAAAAACTCTAAAAGCTAATGTAATGTAAGAGAGACAGACAGTGGCAATGCATATTCACCTGGCCATAGAAGCTGAGATAAATTTAAACTGAAATTTAATATTAACAACAAAGTCTTCATCTTGCAATGTGGTCATGTGATTCTTAATGTGACAGGAAACATTTCCCACAAGATTAGCTTTGAGACCATTTAGCAGCTGATACACTTAAATTATTTTGAAGTAAGGAATCAAATTGTTCACTGACAGAAATCTAATTTCTGTTCCAGGGAGTTCAGCATGTTTTTTTTGTTTTGTTTTTTTTTTTTGAGATGATGCAACAACTGCCACTGTTGAGTTTGCTTAAAGTCACACCAGCAGGAAGGATTTAAGTTCTTTGAGTATTTAATCCATATTGGCTGAGGGAAACCATGTTTAAAATGGTTAAAAGTACTTGTACCCCTTTACTCCCCAGCTTGGGATTTTAACAACTATCCTTAATGCCAACTTTTTTTTTTTTTTTTTTTTTTTTTTTTTTTTTTTTTTTTTTTTTTTGTGACAGAGTCTCCAGGCACCAGGCTGGAGCGCAGTGGCACGATCTCGGCTTACTGCAACCTCCGCCTCCCTGATTCAAGGAATTCTCCTGCCTCAGCCTCCCGAGTAGCTGGGACTACAGGTGCGTGCCACCATGCCCAGCTAATTTTTGTATTTTTTTAGTAGAGAGGTGATTTCACCATGTTGGCCAGGATGGTCTCAATATCTTGACCTCGTGATCCACCTGCCTCTGCCTCCCAAAGTGCTGGGATTACAAGTGTGAGCCACTGCGCCCCGCCCTTAATGCCAACTGCTTAAAGTCTCCATTAAAAATGAACCAAAAGAACATAAAATATTTGGCTAACTAAAACAGGAATTTACTTGATGAAGCTTTGCTCTCTGGCCAGTATGACCACTTAGCTAACGGACTCTAGCCAGTGAGATGAACAGTTGATCCACAGTAAGTGGAGCACAAGACTGTCCACTTTCTTATCCACCTGCTATCACAGCATAAGGGTAAAAGTGAGTTGTTCTGTGTGTGATTAAAACCCTGGAAGGGTCTAGAAGTAGTGCTTGCTGACAATGAGGAGTCTATGGACTTAAATGTCTTGTTTTTCTTGTGTATTTTACTTAAAAATGAGAACACATTCAGAAACTGGACACAAAATTTCCTTTTAAAAAACATTTTAATTATGGATTCATAATAGTTGTACATAATTAAAGGGTACATCTGACATTTCAATACATTCATACAATGTGTAAAATCATGGTAATTGGGGCATCCATCGCCTCAAGTATTTATCATCTCTTTGTGTTAGAAACATTCCAATTCCACTCTTTTAGTTATTCTGAAATATACAATAAGCTATTAACTATAGTTGCCCTATTGTGCTACCAAACACTAGATTTTATTCCTTCTATCTAAGTGCATTTTTGGACCCAATAACCATGCCCTCTTCATCTGCCCCCTCCCCACTACCCTTCCCAGACTCTAGTAATTATCATTCTACCTTCTATCTCCATGAGTTCTTCTTCTTGTTTTTTGTTTTTTTTTTTTAAGCTCCCACATATTAGTGTGAACATTCACACTAGTGTCTTTCTGTGCCTGGCTTATTTCACTTAATGTTTTCCAGTTCTATCCATGTTGCAGCAAATGAACGGATTTTTTTTCTTTTTTAAGGCTGAAAAATATTACCTTGTGTATATGTACCACATTTTCTTTACCCATCTACCCACTGATGAACACTTAGATTTATTCCATATTTTGGCAATTGTGAATATTGCTGCAATAAACGTGGGAGGGCAGATACCCCTTTGATTTACTGATTTCCTCATTTATTTATTTATTTATTTGGTATTTACTCAGCAGTACGATTGCTGGCTCATATGGTGGCTCTGTGTTTAGTTGTTTGAGGACTCTCCATACTGTTCTTCACAGTGCTGTACTAACATACATTCCTACCAACAGTGTGCAAGTGTTCCTCTTTCTCCACATCTTTATCAGCATTCTATATTGCTGGTCTTTTGGATAAAAGCCATTTCAACTGGGATGAGATTATATCTCATTGTGGTTCTGATTTGCATTTCTCTGATGATTAGTGATGCTAAACATTTTTCATATTCCTGTCGGCCGTTCGTGTGTCTTTTTTTTTTTTTTTTTTTTTTTTTGATAAATGTCCATTCAGGTCTTTTGCCCATTTTTTAATTGGATTATTTATTTTCCTATTATGTTATTTGAGCTCCTTATACATTCTGGCTATTAATCCTGTGACAGATGAGTAGTTTGCAAGTATTTTCTCCCACTTGATGGGTTGTCTCCTCACTTTGTTGTTTGCTTTGCAGAAGCTTCTTAGCTTGGCATGATCCCATTTGTCCTTTTTTGCTTTGCTTGTCTATGTTTTTAAGGTCTTACTAAGAAATATTTGGTTCTGGAGATTTCCCTAATGTTTTCTTCTAGTAGTCTCAATAGTTTCAAACCTTAGATTCCAGTCTTCAAGTCATTTTGTTTCAATTTTTTTTAATATGGCAAAAGATAGGGATCTAGTTTCATTCTTCTACATGTAGTTATCAAGTTTCTCCAAAACAGTTTGTTGAAGAGACCCTCCCTTACCCAACATATGTTCTTGGCAGCTTTGTCAGAAATTAATTGACTGTATATGTATGGATTTATAGTCAACTGTATATGTACGGATTTATTTCTAGGTCCTGTACTCTGTACCATTAGGCTATGTGTCTGTTTTTATGCCAGCATCATGCTGTTTTGTTTACTATCACTTTGTAGTATAATTTGAAGTCAGGTAATGTGATGCCTCCAGCTTTATTCTTTTGCTCAGGATTGCTTTGGCTACTCTGTGTCTTTTGTGGTTCCACATAAATTTTAGGATTTTTATCTTTCTGTGAAGAATGTCATTGGTATTTTGATAGGGATTACATTAAATCTGTAGATTGTGCTGGGTAGTATGGAAATTTTAACACTATTGATTCTTCCAGTCCATGAACATGAAATATCTTTCCATTTTTTGTGTCCTCTTCAATTTCTTTTCATCAGTGGAAAAATCTCTACAATACAAGCAAAAGTGAATTTCTTCGTGGTACAAATAAGTATTTTAAGATAAGAAATTTTAAGGTTCCCTCCCAAGCTATCCTGAAAATTTCCCAAGGGCAGGAATTATCTCTCTTACATTCATCACTACATCCAGAGCCTAGCTGGCACAAAATGTAGCAAACAGAAGACCCTCTGTATTATGGGTTGACTGAGTAAGTGAACCTCTATATTTTACGGAGTTAGTTTGAGGTTTTTATGTTACCTTCATCGCTATAGAGCCATAAAATGAATTTTTTGTGTGGAGCCACACAAAACTGCACCACGACGGTGTTTTTCTTTAAAACGAGCACAAGAATAAAACTAAACGCAAATATTCGCCTCACTGGAAAGCATTGCGCGTGCGCTATCCTGCGCTATTACCCAACACAACTCTTAAAAGACCCTCTCGCAGGAGAATCACCTTTGCGCTTGCTCAGTTGCGGACTCCAGGACCTGAAGGCGGGTTCCAAAAAAAAGGAAATGGTCATTGCGCATGCGCCGCTCTTTCTGCGGCTTAGGCCGGCTGCGCAGGCGCACAGGTACCATTTTGACCGTAAACATCCTGCCGATTTGAACCGAGGATTTGGGCGGCAGGAAGAGCCGCGGCATAACGGCAGCCATCTTGTTTGTTTGAGTGAATCGGAAAGGAGGCACCGGCTGTGGCGGCGGCGGGAGCTGCCCCGAAGCTACACCTCGAAGGGTTCCCCCCCTTTCCCCGCCCCCTCCCCCAACCCTTTTCCCCTCCCCGGGCCACCCAGCCCGCCCAACTCCCAGCGGATAGCAAGGTAAGAGGCTCGTCGACCTCTTCTTTCCTTTCAGCTCCCTCCCCCCAACCCGTTCCCCGCCGCGCTGCCGTCGAGGAGCCGGACTCCTAGAGACGGGAGGGCGAGGGAGAAGGCAGCACTCGCCGCGGCTCCGCGTGCTGCCACCCTCCCTGCGCCCGAGCGGCGGCGCCACCCGCCCAGCCCCCTACGCCCCGGGCCCGCCCTCGGCCAGGACCCGTGCAGCCTGGGCCCGCATCATCGCTTGTTCGGTAACAAATGGTTCTAATCCATTCTGAGATCTACAAAGGCTGTTACTCTGTGGTCCAGTCTCACGTTCCCCAGGAGCCGGGGAAACACTGGGCTACGGAGGAATGGGGAGGAGGTTTGAACGAGCCCGCTCTGGGGACCGGGCCGCCTACTCCGTCGGTAAAAATGGCTGTCTGGGAAGACGCGGGAGGAGGCGGTGGCGGGCCCGGCGTCCGCGGTGCCAGCCCCGGGAGCAGCAACCTTCCGCCGAGCTCGGGTGCGGGGCTCGAGAAAGTGCGGACCTGGTGGGGCGGGGGGCGGCGGCGGATGCCCTTTGGCCAGTGACTGCTGCTGCCCTCCCTTTTTAAAAAGATAATTTTTACATTGGGAATGCTAAACCTTGCACAGACCCGTAGAAAAAGCAACTGAGGGAAGTTGCTGCTTATTCCGAGGACATTTGCTTAATTACTGGTTTTCCCCTCAACTTTTCCAGTCATTTTAAAAAGTGATTAAGGATATCGGGTGTTGTAGAGACGCTGTGGGGGAGGCGTGTGTTTCTGCTAAATGCTTGATGCCTTTTTCGTCGCTGAAAAAGGCTTTTTGCGAATGATCCGCTCTGATAATGTAGGGTGACACTGTCGAGTTGTGCTGCCAGACTTAGTGGCCTTCAAATTTGTAGGAGGGAAATTCTGAGGGGTTTACTTGGTCACTGATTTGTTAATGTCTTCAGCGTGCAAAAAAGCGTTTGTGTGAAGGGTGTCTGGGAAAGACTTGTGTTTATCGGCTTCTTTTTGCAAGGGAAAGTTTATCGTTGCTCTCATACTGGTTAGAAGAGTAACTGGTTTTCAGGCAAAATTTTCTGTTTTCTTAAAATGGGTGTGAATGCCAGTGGGCTGTGCTAGTCTGGAATTTTGGAGACGGGCAGGAGAAGGTTTCTGAAATCGTGAAGTCATTAAATACCTTTGTTAATGTCGGAGACAACTGATTATTTTTGGCACGTTATTGATTAGGACATACGCCATATCTCCGAAAAGTTAACAGTTTGCATAGTTGAGGTGACAGAAGTGCATAACTAATAGACATAGTGCTTTTTATACACAAGTCGGAATTACAAAAGAGATTTTCTTTTCTGGTGAATTACTGTTTTGTGAAACATACAAATTCTAAGAAACTATCTTTTGCAGTTTGGTACAGAATGGAAATTTTCTAATTCTTGGAATAAAGGTTGTGTTTTTAGTTTAAATGTCATGCTAGAGCTGTTAGGCATGATTATATTGGCTAATGTTTTGCAGCAAGATTGTCCTCAAAGTTAACTCTTTGCATCAGCGGTGACACTATGTTAGGTGTGCTCTTGTATTTAGTTTTCATAATCTTTTTTGGTGAACATTATACCCACTTTATTATAGTTGAGAAATAACTTACCGTTATGAAACAACTAAGAGGGAGCTAAATTTGAACCTACGACTGTCTGATTGTAAAACCCTTGGTTAAAGGATGTTAGAACCAAAACGGAGGAAATTTCTAGTGTGCCGGGTTAGAAATACCTTCTGAGATCTGCTCACCGCTACCCCAAAGAGGTATCTCCATTCTGATCTGAGTTAGATATTGATGTTTTCAAAGGTTAGGGAAATCACCAGATTTCAACCTTTTATGTTTTTATAGTAGGAAAACTGAACTGCATTAGAGGTTAGGTAGCTTAACCTGCTAGTTAATGACAAAGCAGGATTATGAATTTACTTCTGAGACAGTTTTTACTTTGAATAGGTGATACACATATATGCCCCAAGAGTTTTTATATATATATAACATTACAGAAAAGTAGGCCTCGCATGCCCTGCATACCTGCTTTCCAGAGTTAACCAGTATCACCACTCTCATGTGTACGCCACAGATATTTTAAGCTTATTCAAGAGCTTGTAAATATATGGAGAGAAGGGCATTCTTTTTTTAAAACTCCAACTTTTCTGCACTTAACCTGGAGATTTTCCATATTAGCACAAATGTATTCCTGTTTAAAGCTTTAGTGTACAACTGTTCCTTGATATTAAAGGGGGATTGGTTACGGGACCGAAATCATGAATGCTCAAGTCCCTTATATGAAATAGTGTAGTATTTGCATATAACCTACTCACATCCCATATACTTTAAACAATCTCTAGTTATAATACTACAATGTAAATGCTATGTTAATAGTTTATATAGTTATAGTTTTTTATTTATTTATTTTTTTATTGTTGTGTTATTTTTTGTCTCCCTTGCCCCACCCCGAACAATTTTTGATTCTGGGTTGGTTTAGTCTATGGATGCAGAAGCCATGGATAAGGAGGACTGACTGTATTCTGTTGTTTGAGTATGTTAATTTTTCATACCACTTATTGATGGCCAAGCAGATTACTTTGAATGTTTTGCTGTTCTGCTCTGGCAAGCCAGCATGGTGTTGTAGTTAGAAGTATGGATTCTAATGTTCAAGCTCCACTTCCATTAAATACTAGTGACATTTACTTGTCTTCATCTGTTTTCTCACCTGAAAAATGGACCAGTATTTACTTCTGTAGGACAGTCATGAAGACGTTGGATACATAAAACACATAGTGGTTAATAAGTTTTATTTGGGTTTTTTGGTGTTTGGTTTTTTGGTTTTGTCTTTACTAATAGGCATCTCCAAGTGTATCTTTTGTATTGGTTACTGAAAGTGAAATTTCTGGCCAGAAAGTGTAAGTGAAATTTTCATAAGATGTTGCCATATTGTCCTTCAGAGAGATCACACCAATTTTCACAACCACTGTCCTGCCATGCTTTCTAATGAAGTATTGATACTGACTGATACTGTTCTAGAAGCATGAGCTTTAGTTTGACTGATTCTTTGAAGCAATCTTAAATTGCCGTTTTTTGCATTCTTGAATATGTTCTAAAGTAGCAATCTTTCTGCTGTTTCACATCAGACTTTAATTTTTCAGGATCAATTAAAAAAATTGCTGCTTTAGAAAAAAATGACTCTCAAATCATGAAAAGCTAAGTTGTGCTCTGGTATCAAATGCAGATTTTCTGCACAGTTCTTTCATTTAGCAGAATACAGAATCTTCAAATATAAAAAGATTGGATAAAGTTTAGTATTAAGGAAAAATATTGGCTTAAAAGGCAATTATAATTACACTTCTCATTCAGGTATACACCAGGAGTTGATCCACCACTGCTACTTTGGCTTCTTTTAGTTATTAATTTCCTCTTGCTAATTGTTTCCCACATTAATTTTAGCACCACTCTGCGTTCCTTAGCCTCATCTGATGCGAAACAGGCATCTATTTAGGAATCCCTGCCTCTGCATAGCTGGGATATTTTAGGCATGGTGCTCTGACCAGCAGCTGAAGTGCTGGCCATCAGCTACCGACACCTGTTGAAAAATGCCAGTAGATTTAATTTTTAAAATGTCTAAAATTTTTTACATATGTCAATTATGAGATCACTTGGTGGATCATATTTATTTTTATTCATTAAGCACATATTTAGTAATTTTCATGCAGCAGACAGTATTCTAGAAGGTTAATATTAAGGAGTTTTTTGTTTATTTAGGATACAGTTGCTTGCTTCCATAGTGGAACTTGGAGCTTATCGTGTACAGCAGCGATTGTATTTCTCAGAACACACCGCCATGTTGGATTTCTATACAGTTCTGTAGATTTTATTTATAACACAGTTGAGGCAGCTTAAGTTTTCTGATGATATTTTAAGGCTTGAAGTAGGCACTGATTTGGAACCCTCTTCCAGTATGGGAAGCATGTTTTAATCTATAAAATACTAAATGCCAAATAAAGGACCTTTGAGGTGTTATTATTTAATGCTCGTACCTTAAGAATGTTTTGAGTTCTTCTTTGTATAGAATATAGTATTTCTTCATTCTTTTCTTTTTTAATAAACACAGAGTCTTGCTGTATTGGCCAGAGTGGTCTGGAACTCCTGGCCTCAAGAAATCCTCCTGACTTGGCCTCCCAAAGTGCTGGAATGACAGACATGAGCTACCATGCCTAGCCAGTTTCTTCCGTCCTTAACTCCAAATTTAGGAAAAAGAGTTCACAACATTAGACAGTTGGTGAAGCCTTTTTTTTCTTTTTAGAAAATTCTTTTTTAGTATGAATTAGTAATCCTTTGGGAAGACAAGAAACAAGAGAATGAGAATTTCAGGACTCTTTACTGTTAAGTGATGGAAATGTAGATAAAGCAAACCTGACTGCAGTAGTCTTGCACCACAGCCCCCTACCCTCCCAAATATTTTTGACATGTAAGAAATCTGTTGCTTGTGATATGCTTAACTAAAATATGTTTTCTCTATATCATTGGAAAGAATGGGAACTTTTTAATTGAAAGTACAGTAAGCAAAATTCTCATTTTAAGATTTATAGACTTGGTGAAAACATGAAAACTATCTGTATCTTTTAGAAAAAAGCTAATTCTAAAGAGATTTTAGTCCCACCTGCAGTGTAAGAGATCCAACTTCTCTGTCTTTGCCAGCATTTGATGTTGCCACTATTTTTTAATTTAGCTCTTACAATAAGTGTGTGGTGATAACATTTTTGGCTTTAATTTGTATTTCTCAAATGCCTAGTGATAAATATCTCATGTTCTTATCATCAGTAAACCTCTTCTATGAAATTTGTCTTCTTTCGCTCACTTTTTTTTCTTTTTAGACAGTCTGTCACCCAGGCTGGAATGCAGTGGCACAGTCTTTGTCTCACTTCAACCTATTCACCCTGGGTTCAAGCGATTCTCCTGCCTCAGCCACCCAAGTAGCTGGGCTTACGGGCACATGCCACCACACCTAGCTAATTTTTGTATTTTTTAGTAGAGATGGGGTTTCACCTAATTTCCCTGACTGGTCTTGAACTCCTGGCCTCAAGTGGTCTGCCTGCCTCGGCCTGCCAAAGCGTTAGGATTATAGGCATGAGCCAGTATGCCTGGCTTCTTTTGCTCACTATTTTTTATTCTTTTTATCCCTGAGTTTTGAGAATTCTTTACATATTCTATATCTGAGTTCTAGTCAGATGTGTGGTTTGCAAATATTTTTTCCCCAGTCTGTAACTTATCTTTGCATTTCTTTCTTAGAGCAAAAGTTTAATTTGATAAAGGCGAGTTTATTGAGCAAGAACTTTTCCTTCATGGGTTGTGTTTTTGGTTTTGTGTCAAAATTTTTACCAAGATTTAGGTACTGAAGGTCTACCCCCTGCCATTTAAAAAGTTTTGTCTATTTTGAATTTTTATATAACATGTGAGGTTTAGGTGGAGGGTTTTTTCCTTGCCTTTTTTGTTTTGGGGGGATGTGTGCGTGTGCATGTTTTCTGGCCTTCAGATGGTATTTAATCACTAGCACCATTTGTTGAGAAATCTATCATTTCTCCATTAGATAGCTTTTGCATCTTTGTTTAAAAAAAAAAAAAAATCAGTTGCTACTTCTGGGTTCTCAGTTCTGTTCCATTGACTGTGTTTCTCTCTCTGCCAATACCAGTGTAGAGTATTGTAGCTATATAGTAAGTCTTGAAATTAAGTAGACTAATTCTTCTCACTTTTTCAAAATAGTTTCAGCTTCTCTAGTTTCTTTGCTTTTCAATATAAATTTGATAATCTTGTCTGTAAATGTAAAAAAACTATTTTGATAATTGTATTAAAGTTTCTTTAAAAACTAAACGTACACTTACAATACTTTTCAGCAATCACACTTCTGGACAGTTGTCCCAGAGAAATGAAAACTTAACGTTCAGCAAAAGACTGTAGGCTGTAACAGCTTTATTTGTAATAGCCAAAAACTGGAAACAACTAAATGTCCTTCACTAGGTGAATGTGCAAGCAAATTATGATATATGCATCTCATGGAATGCTACCCAACGGTAGACGGTAATACTATTGATAAATGTAACAACTTGGATCACAGAAGCATTGTGCTAGATCCAAAAAGCCATTTCAAGAAGTCACATACTATATGATTCATTTATATAACTTTCTCAAAACAACACAATTAAGTCCAGTGTGGTGACTCACACCTGTAGTTCCAGCTACTTGAGAGGCTAAGGCAGGAGGGTTGCTTGAGCCTAGGAGTTCAAGGCTGCAGTGAGCTATGATCACATTACTGCACTCCAGCCTGGGAAATAGAATGAGACCCCATCTCTTAAAAGAAAAAAAGAGTGACAAAATTAGAAATGTGGAACAGATGGTGATTGTCAAGACTTAGGAATGGCAGGGAGAGAGGGATGAACATGAGTTTTGTAGTGATGGAATAGTTTTGTCTCTTTTTGCGTGGTGATTCTACAGATCTGCACATGTGATAAAATGGTATAAAAGTCTGTAGACACATTGTATCAATGTCAGTGCCCTGGTTTTGATACTACCTTCTAGTTATGTAAGATGTCACCTTTGGGAGTAAAAATACATGGGACCTACTATTTTCATGACTCCCTGTGACTCTATTTCAAATTAAAAATTTAAAGTACTTTTTATGTATTGTGCATGTACTTGATTTTATTTCTGTGAAAGCAAGGCGTATGTCGTTTTCTAGTCATGGACATTATAGAAAAAAGGCAGAAATTCATTTGCCAAGGTACATTTCTTTTAACTCTGTGAAAGAGGGAAACTAAATGATGTAAAGGAAATATCCTGCAGTTAATATACTCTTCTGAACTGGGGTTTTCAAGCTACCTTTATTTTGTTAATACATTAGAGTGCAAAAGGAAAGTAAAATGATGGTAACATTTGTGATTCCAAGACTATTTCAGTCATAAGATAAATGTTCTGCTATACATTGTCCTTGATTTAATGTTTAAATTATAAGTAGACAAATGCTTCGTAAGTTCCTCAGTTAAGAAAACTATATATTATAATTCTTTACCTTTTTTGAGCCTCTGTTTTTCTAAACTTCCCACCTGTAAAATGAGGCTGGCCCACCTACTTAGTTTTTCTTGGCGGAATATGAAATGCTTAGTACAGTGCTTTTCATGTAGTAGCAATTTTACAGATCATTGATCCCAGAATCACAATTTTTAATGGAATTCTAAAAATGGAAATTTCCACATAGATTGATATCTGTGCCTAAGTATCTTTCTTCTTAGATGTTGTTTTCTTGCCACAGAAAATATATTCTCTAGCTTTTGGCCAGTAAACAAACTATTTCCACTGTCAATCAAGATAAAAATGAAACCAGGTATGAAAGCAATTTGACTCTTGTCCCTTTTACTTTCACCTCTTAGAATTTTGGGGTCTGTTTTCCCCCCCTCAAAATTAAAGCAATAGACTTTTTTTTAAAATACGTATTAAACATTTACTCTAGCCTTTTATAGTTTTTATATTAAAGAGAGAAGAAAAATTTTAGATGTCTTATGTCTTGATAAGTATTTCAGTTGTCAGATGATATTTACATTAACTTTTTTTCCCCTCTTAGGTTTTCTTCTATTTTCATAACCAACCAGAACAATGTTCTACGCACATTTTGTTCTCAGTAAAAGAGGGCCACTAGCCAAAATTTGGCTAGCGGCCCATTGGGATAAGAAGCTAACCAAAGCCCATGTGTTTGAGTGTAATTTAGAGAGCAGCGTGGAGAGTATCATCTCACCAAAGGTATGTTTAATGTTGACATTTTTATTTACTTTGTTGATTGTTTATTGATATGTGAAACAGAACTTCTAAAGCAGTTTTTTTTAGGTAGGTACATTGGAGGCAAGGGAAATCCTTAGAAATTTTTCTTTGTTATGTGAAGTCTTTCATTATCACCTCTAGACATACTTTGACATGGTCACAGTATGATTCTTTTTTCTTTAAAAAAAATCTCTAAGTGCATTGACATTTTGATTTGCCTATTTTTAATGGCAAATAAGCATGAGTCAGGGCAGTGCCCAAATACTGTTTACTGATTGTTCCTTAGAGGAGCTTTTATTAATGTCCTCTGAAACTGTTCAGAGGCAGTGGTTTACACACTTGGATTTCAAAATAGTATGACTTAAAGTAATACCCTATGGGTTTTTTGCTTTGCCAAGAAAGAACCTTTAAAACACAAGTGGACTTACCATCTACTGTCATTAGCATTTCATTGAGGAGTGCACATGTTGACTTCAAAAATGTATGAAAGACTAATCGCAAAGAGTCCTTAAATATAATTTATATATATTTATATCTGGGTTTCAAAGACTCTTTCCTGCACCTTATTTTGCGTGTACATACACAAGTGCACACGCACGCACCACATGCATGACCCAACTGTCCTATAGTCAAAATGTTCCCGATCACAGCCATGTGAAGCAGCAGTGGGAACTATTCCTAGAATTTTGAGTTTGGACAGTGTTGATGTAATACATTAAGAGTAGTTTTATTACTGGAAGAATGAAGGAATCTCAGAAGAATAAAGCTGGGGATGAAGCAGAGACTTGTTCAAAAAGTATGTGGAAAAGTATTTTTTTTTAGGTGGGAGAAATGAAAGTTTGTGCTTGGAGTTACAGTAAATTACAAAGTTCCATTTGTATATGGAGTTTTGGCTGCTTTTAGACTTACTGCTGGTGGAATTAATTGCTATTAAAAACATTTTGTGTTCTTTCTGGGACAGTACTAATTTGAAAATTTTAATAAGGTGAAAATTTTACAAACAGAAAAACCGTAGTCCATATTACTTAGATCTTTAGTAATATTTTGATAAACCTACTAGACTTTTGTGTGACTGCATAATGCACATAATTTTTTTATGTGTGTACACAAAAATTGCATTTATATTTTGTAACACAACTGCATTCGGGAGCAGCTCTAATAGGTCTAACCATCTAATGTTTGTAATTTACAGCATAATCTCATACAAAGAACTTAAATACAAAATTTGAAACAGACTTAACCTAGACTGAAGTGAGTTTTTTTGAGACAGGATTTCACTCTGTTACCCAGGCTGGAGTGCAAACATGATCTTGGGTCCTGGCAACCTCCGCCTCCTAGGCTCAAGCAGTCCTCCCACCTCAGCTTGCCGAGTAGCTGGGTCCACAGATGGGCACCACCACACCTGGCTAATTCTTGTAATTTTGTAGAGACAAGGTTTTGCCATGTTGTACAGGCTGGTTTTGAACTCCTGAGCTCAAGCAATTTGTCTGCCTCAGACTCCCAAAGTGCTGGGATTACAGGCATGAGCCACTGCACCTAGCCCTTAATTACCTAAATATTCATACATTTACTATAGGAATGCTAATGTATATAATTGTGGGGGGGCTGCTCTAGACATTCTTGGGAATATTGTAATATACTCTGTGTGTGTGTCTGTGTACACACATCTGTGTCATACACACACACTGCATTACCTTTATAATATTCAAAAAGCCCGGAATTCTATAACATTTGGCCCCTAGGATTTTGGATAAGGAATTAGGGAATATGGAACTGTAAATCATTGTTTGGGTTATGTATGATTTATTTTACTCCTCCCTTTTTTTTGGATAGCTTACATTGTTTCTAATTTTTTGAAATTCTGGTCTATCCAATGAAAAACCATTAAAAACAACAGTAGAACAATACAATGGGAGATTGTCTTTTCAACAAATAGTGCTGGAATAGCTAGACATCATGCAAAAGAAATATGAACTAGCTAGACATACTTTACACCCTTCAAAAGAATTAACTCAAAATGGATCATAGGCCTAAATTTAAAACACAAAACTATAAAACTGCTAGAAGATAACATTTCTGAATGACCTGGGATTTGGTAGTGACTTTAGATATGACGCCAAAGGTGTGATCTAAAAAAGAAAAAATTCAAAAGCTGGACTTAAGAATTAGAAAGTACTGCTCTCAAAAGATAGTGTCAAGAGAATGCAAAGACAAGCATTAAAACAAGATATCACTACTCATCTATTAATATGGCCAAAATCCAAAACAGTGACAACACCAAATGTTGGTGAGGATGTGGAGCAGCAGTGACTCTCATTTTTGGTGGAAATGCAAAATGGTACAGCCACTGTGGAAAACAATTTGATGGTGTCTTAGAAAACTAAACATTATTTTTACCTAAAATTTGTTTCTTGGTGTTTACTCAAAGTAGTTGAAAACTTACGTCTTTACAAGAGCCTGCACACAGATATTTATAGCAGCTTTATTCATAATGACCAAAACTTGGAAGCAATTGAGATGTCCTTGAGTAGATGAATGGATAAATTAACCTTTCACTGAAATATTCAGTGCTACAAAGAAATGAGCTATGAAGTCAAGAAAAGATGTGGAGGAACAGGCCAGGCACGATGGCACATGCCTACAGTCTCAGCATTTTAGGAGGCCAAGGCGGGTGGATGGGTTGAGCCCAGGAGTTCAAGACATGGCAAACCCCTTATCTACAAATACAAAAAAATTATCCTGACTGTGTGGCAAGTGCCAGTATTCCCACCTACTTGGGAGGTTGTGGTAGGAAGATCTGTTAAGCTTGGGAGGTCAAGGCTGCAGTGAGCCAAGCTAGCACTAGTTCACTGCAGCCTGGGTGACAGAGTGAGACCCTGTCTCAAAAAAAACAAGAAGATGGGCCTGACACGGTGGCTCACACCTGTAATCCCTGCACTTTGGGAGGCTGAGGCAGGCGATCAAAAGGTCAAGAGATCAAGACCATACTGGCCAACATGGTCAAACTCCGTATACTAAAAATACAAAAATTAGCTGGGCGTGGTGGCATGTGCCTGTAGTGCCAGCTACTCGGGAGGCTGAGGCAGGAGAATCGCTTGAACCCATGAGGCAGAGGTCGTGAACAGAGACTTTGTCTCAAAAAAAAAAATGTGGAAATGCTGTAAATGCATATTACTTAGTAAAACAAACCAATCTAAAAAGGTTACATATCGGTGATTGCAGCTGTGGAACACTCTGGAAAAGCCAACACTGTAAAAATGAGACAGTAAAAGGATGGGAGGTTGGGGAGAGAATGGAGGGTTGAATAGGCAGAGCACAGACGATTCTTTTTAGAGCAGTAAAACTGTTTTGCATGGTAGTATAATGGTTAATAAATGCCATTATACATTTTTCCAAACTCACAGTATGTTAACACCAAGAGTGAACCCTGATGTAAACTAGGGACTTCTGGTAATGATGTGTCAGTGTAAGTTTATCAGTTGTAATAAATGAAACCCCGATGGCAGGTGTCGATTATGGGGAAGATTGTCTCTGTGTGGGGAAGGTGGTGTTTATGAGAAATCTGTGTCTTTTCCTAAGTGTTGCTGTGAACCCAAAACTACTCTTTTTCTTGGATGCAGTCTTCTGACAATTGTTACATCCTTTTTTGTGTATATACACAAAGAAAAATTGTGTGCATGCACACTGGAAAGCCTAGAAGGCATACCAAAAGATTATTAAAGATTTCTGTAGGTGGTAGGATTGTAGGTTGTTTTATTTTCTAAGACTAGCCATTTAATAAACATTTCTTATTAAACTTCGTTCACACCCTTAAGTATGTTCTTGAGATCTATTTTTAGGATTATAATTGATAGGCCGAGTGATAAACATGTTTTTGAGATTTCTGATAGGCATCAACAGTTTGCTCTGCTGAGATTGTACCAGTTTGCACTGCTGGTCAATTTTTTTTTTTTTTTAATAGGTATGCTTACTGGGATAAGTTAATGGAAAAGAGAGAAATCGTACTCTTTTCTTGAAAGTATATGTGTGGCTAATCTTTAACATCCGTAAGCAAATATTGAGAGTGTTTGGCTTAAAAGGATAACAGATTTTTTTCATGCTATGTACTGAGTACTTTGTACCCCTTTAGGGACACTACCAAAGGATATGAGAAAATCTGTTAATTGAAGGTATACATGAACAGCCACAAAGGAAAGCAGACAGTTCAGGAATCATATAAAAGATTGTAATGTGTTTATGAAAGAAAGTGATTTATCTTTAAATGTTTTAAACCATTTCTAGCTGAGCTATTATTTATTTGATAACAGGATATAAAGATACTTCTCCACAGAGTGAACTGTCCTGAAATTTCTAATGTTTGCTTTGGTGTGCAGTTCTCGTTGTGAAAATGTTGGTTTAGTTGTTTAGCATAAGTGTCACACATGGCTCATTTGCAATGCAAGCTTACATACTCCCTTCTCTCTTCCACTCTATTGAAAGACCCACTGGCGCCCTTTGCAGAGCTTTCCCAGAAGATGTAGAGTGACATCTTTATTATATTTGTGTTTACACTGTAACACACAATAGCTCAAAAACATATGCCATACCTCATTTTACCCACTCCTAGGCTAAACTCTGAACCACACTAATCTAGAAAGCAAGCTTTTGCTTAAACACCACTTTTTGAAAGTTGCTAGTTCTAAACAATAGCAAGCAGAGGTTTTTTTTCCCTCCTCTGTTCTTAGATGAAAGTACAGTCAATATTAATTTTAAATTTTATAATACCACATAAAAATAGGTTCTGTTTTTCCATTAGGAGCAACATTTTAATTTGATTTTTTTAAATTAGGGATTCATTGATACATTCTGAATTTGATCACAAATTTGGTGTAACTTCAGATGTCTAAAAATGTATGGCCACAGACATCATCATTTATTCTGTAAGTCACATAAAACGCTCATAGGTACAGAGCCTGAGAGTCATAAGTAAGGTCCTAGAGTGCTATGGAGAATACACATAAACTTTAAAACACAACATTTTATTTTACGAATAACAATATACGAATCATACTTTAAACAAGAGCAAATGTTAAAAGCTTTTTTTTTTATTACCTTAGAACTTGGTGCATCTTATCTGATTTGGGAAAGTATCCAGGGATGTTTGTTTTCATATTGACTTGTTCTTTCAGTAAGTTTTCCTTATGGCTAGAGGAATTTTGAGTACTTGTGTTTAGATTGAGTCTTGTCTCATTGTTTTACCAACTGCTCTCCACATACTGCATCCCATATTAATGTTGATCAAGATCTGCCTTGAAAAAAAGTTGGGTAGTATATTTACTGGTGAAAAAAGGTATGGATACTGTTATCCTTTTTCAATTAGTATACTTTTCAGTTAATGGAAACTTAGTAAAAAGTGGCTTAAACAATAAGGGAAATAACAGACTTCATTAAAATTTTGGAAACAGATCTGAGATTGGTTCAGCAGCTTGATTATGTCATCCAAGGACTCTCCATCCTTAGTTTGTTGGCTTCCTGTCCTCATACTTCAGCATTGTGGTTTACAGGGTGACTGCATGAAGCAACTGAGCAAGCCCTACCTATTCACAAAGCAGGAAAGGAGGAAGGAAGAGAAAGATGGTGTTCTTTTGGGGGGAATATCTTTCTCAGAAACTCTCTGGCATACTTCACCTATTACTCAATTGGCCGAACTGTGTTTCGTGCCATCTCAAGAACAGGTATTAGCAGAGAGGAATGAGACATCTGTCAATATGGGGACATTTGCTTCTCAAACAAAATCAGAATTGACATAGCCAGCAAGAAGCAATGGCTCTGGATTGGCATCCAGAAGTGTTAACGTGCTCCTTAATGTGCTAATGACACAGTTCATGGAACGGTGTGCTTACTTCCTAGCTACCTTCATGTTTATGTTAATTCATGAATTACCACTCAGTCTTTTTGGTATATTCCATATATTCAGGGAATTTAGAGGCAAGGACAGTGAGAAATATATGTGATTATTAGGCAATTTTAAAGGAAAAATGAAAAGATAAAGACTCTAAGTAGCATGAATGCAAGCTTTGAAATATGATTAATGTTTTATTCATAGGTGAAAATGGCATTACGGACATCAGGACATCTCTTACTGGGAGTAGTTCGAATCTATCACAGGAAAGCCAAATACCTTCTTGCAGACTGTAATGAAGCATTCATTAAGATAAAGATGGCTTTTCGGCCAGGTATTGTTGAAGCTTTTTTTTTTTTGCTTTGGAGTTTCTCATATTTTTTGTGTTACTGTAGCTAAACACATTTTCTAAATCAACAGGCTTGCAGAGGCAGTGGTTCAAGGGAGGAAATGTACTTTATTTGCATCTCTTTGACCTGTGAAGTAATGGAGTTCACCCCCTTTTTTGTTCTTCCTTTGGAGCTGCCTTTTTAGTACTTTTTTCAGCAGCTTACATAGACTGAGTCATCAGAGGTTGAAATGTTGAAAACTAATTGTTATGTAATGATTTTTATAAAATATAGCTCAGAAAAGATAATTATAGGGTTTTAAACTTTTTTCCTAAATAAATGTTCTTTGTAGCTTTTTTGTTGTTACCACACCACCATCTAAGTAGATAATTACTGCTTATCTAAATTTACATATCTTTCTACAATTTTTAAAAGCATTGATGAAATTTTATTCTAATTAAAATAATGTGTATAGAAGAAATGCCTTAACAGTTTTTACCGAGGATACATTGTAGTACTTCATTTTATGTCAGTTTGTGAACAGTAAAATGTTTGAGATCCAAAATTTTATTTAAAAATAAAATATTTAGAAAAAGACTACAGTACTTAAATTAACATGTGAACAATAAACACATTTTATCTAAATAACATGCTTTTTGTTTGTCTTTCAAAGTAAGGCATATTTATTAGAGACAACTGGAAAAATATAAAGAAAATTAAAATTGTGTAATTCTGCTTTCTCTAAAATAACCAGCTCCTTTTAACATTTAAGGTACTCCTTTGCAGTCATTCTTCCCCCCATAATTACCATGTTTAAGTAATTACATGTTAATAGTTATTTGTTGATAGGTCCATGTAAACATTTATCAGCTTAATGCATAATTAGTGCTTTGACTTTTTCATAAAACAAGGAATACAATTTATGAGCATAGAAAAAGAGAAGTACTTGTGCATTAAGGTATTTTGCATATGTTTTCAACCTTTCTATTAGAATATAAACTTAGGAATTTATACTTACTTATCTCCTCCTTATCCCTAGATAATTTTGTGGGTAGCTAGATATTCAAACTTAGCATTTATTTTCCAGGTGTTGTTGACCTGCCTGAGGAAAATCGGGAAGCAGCATATAATGCCATTACTTTACCTGAAGAATTTCATGACTTTGATCAGCCACTGCCTGACTTAGAGTAAGTGTCGTCTTCTTTAAAAAATTGTTGGCATGGTCCACGAAAAGCAGTAGTATTTGCTTACAAATGCATAGGTTTTTTTGGAATGTTTTACATTAACAGGTAGCTAAAATGCATATACTTTTATGTAGAATAGTATATATATAAATAAGGAACATAAAACCTAGAAAGCTGTTGTTCTGTGAGAAAAATCATGTGGATGTCAGCTTTAACACAGCTAAGATGTGAGAGTTTTGACATGCTTAGGCCAAAGCTTATGTAAACCTATAAACAGTTGTCTAGGTATGCTCTTTATGCAGTGATATCAGGGAATGTAAACTGTTGGTTCAGAGTTGTATATTAAAGTCAGCTGTTGGTTGTCTTCTTGGCCAGGCTGTACTCAGAGTCATAATTCTATTCTGGTTATGCTTTGTTTTTGTTTTAAATAAACATGCAAGATAACTTTTTATGAAGAGCAAGAAAGGGTCATTGTCACGACACACATTTGAGAGGAGAGAGTTACACAGAGACGGCCATTATAGCAGAATACTGTAGTACGCTTCCCTTTTCTCAAGTCCTTACAATCTAGCCATCATGCCATGATGTTGGAACTTGACTGTAGCTTTCCAAGTGACTTAGCATAACTGACAGCCAAGGAACACCATTACAGATTTCTCTGCTTTTTGAAATTATCTGTGACTTCTAATTAGGTAAGTTTATGACCTATTTTGTTATTACATGTGTGTTAATTCTAGGCTCTATCTAGCTTTTTACTTTTTTTCTCTCCTTTTGACATTTTATTTGAAAATTTTTTATTATGGAAATTTTTAAACATAGCTAAAATTTAGAGAAATTAGTAGGATGAACCTTGCATGTCATTCAGCTTTTGTAATTACAAGTGTATTGCCAGTCTTACTATATCTATTTTTCCCCAGTTTACCTCACAGCCCCCACCATATTATTTTAAATTAAATAACAGATAATCTTATTTCATCTGTAAATGCTTTGATATTTGTCTCTTAGAGGTAAGGAATTTTTAAAGCCTCCATAACACATCACACCTTTAAAAAAATTATCAGTAATTCCTTAATATAGGCATAGCTTGGAGATACTGTGGGTTTGGTTCCAGACCGCTGCAGTAAAGCAAGTCACACAAATTTTTTTGGTTTCGCGGTGCCTATAAAAGTTATGTTCACACTGTATTGTGGTCTATTGAGTGTACAATAATAGCATTATGTTTAAAAAAAGCAGTGTGCATATCTTTAAAATACTCTAATGCTAAAATATGCTAATGATCATCTGAGCCTGCAGCAAGTTGGGTGGAGGATTTGCCTCCATGCTGATGGCTACTGACTGGTATGGTTGGTGGTTGCTGAAGTTTGAGGTAACTGCAGCAATTTCTTAAAATAAGACAGCAGTGAAGTTTGCTGCATTAGTTGATTGACTCTTTCATGGGAGATTTCTTTGTAGCATACAATGCTATTCGATAAATGTTTTACCCACTGTAGAACTTCTGTCAGAATTTGAGCCAATCATCTGAAACCCTACCGCTGCTTTGTCAGCCAACTCTATCGAATATTCTAAACACTTTGTTGTTGTTTCAGCATTATTCACAGTATCTTCACTAGGAGTAGATTCCATCTCAAGAAACTACTTTCTTGGCTTATTCATAGGAAGTAAACCCTCATTTGTTAAAGTTTTATTCCAAGATTGCATCAATTAGTCACATCTTCAGGTTCCACTTCTAATTTTAGTTCTCTTGCTTTTTCCACCAAATCTGCAGTTACTGCCTCCACTGAAGTCTTGAACCCCTCAAAGTCATGCATCAGGGTTAAAATTAATTTCTTCTAAACTTTCTGTCTGTACCACTGAAACTTTCTCCATATGAACAATAAGGTAGTTTTGTTTTCTTACTCATGTTCACTAGAGTAGCAGTTTTAATTCCCTTCAAGAACTTTTTCTTTGCATTTACAACTTGGCTGTTTGGTGCAAGAGGCCTAGTTTTAACATGCCTTCTTCACCAAGCTTAATCATTTCTAGTGAGATATGTGTGACTCTTTGTTTTACTTGAACAGACAGTAACCATTGTAGGGCTATTAATTGGCCTGATTTCAATGTAGTTGCATCTCAAGGAACACGGAAGCCCAACAAGAGGGAAAAACATTAGTGGAGGCGGGGGAGGGCAGGAGCAGCCAGTCAATGGAGCAGTTAGAACACAGAACATTTCCTGGCTAAGTTTGACATATTATATGGGCATCCTTTGTGGCACTCCAAAACAATAGCATCAAACATTATTGAACCGGATGTGGTGGCTCACACCCATAATCCCAGTCCTTTGGGAGGCTGAGGTGGGGAATCGTTTCAGGCCAGGACTTTGAGACTAGCCTGCGCAATATAGTAAGGTCCCCGCCCTGCCCCCCATCTCTACTGAGAAATAAGAAAAAACTTAAAAGATACTAATCAAGATCACCATGACAGATACAATAATGAAAATTTTTTAAATAGCATGAGAATCACCAAAATGTAACACAGAGACATGAAGTAAGCTTGTGCTGTTGGAAAATGGCACCAACAAACTTGCTCAATGCAGTGTTACACAAACGTTCAGTTTATTAAAAACTCAGCATCTGTGAAGCTCAGTATAACAAAGTGCAGTAAAACGAGGTATGCCTATATGATATGCAGTCAGCATTTAAATGTCCCCAATTGACATGTACGCTTTTTTTTTTTCCTCTTCAGTTTGAGTTGAAGCTAAATAAAGTCTACAAACCGCATTTGGTTGATATAGCTTATGAGTCTCCTAACAATCTATTACAGTATAGCTTTGCCTCCCTCCAATTCTTTTTCCTTGCCATCTATTTCCTGTATAAGCCTGGTTGGTTGTTTTGAGGTATTTATGTTCTGGATATGGCTGATAGTATTTAGATTGTTGTTTAGCATTATACACTTTTCATTTTTTAAATATTTTTAAACTGTATGAGAGATTATTCTTATTTATTAGAGGAAGAAATTGAGTCTTAGGGAAGTCAAGGAACATCAGAGTTTACACAGCCTGTAATTTGCAGGATCCTGATGAAAACCCATGCCTATCTTGCCTATCATTTCTAGTTTTTTCCTCTATACTTGATTTAGTGGCTTCTGCATATTACATTGTATTTGCTGATGATTGATGCTTTTCAAATTTAAATACAAGTTAATTTCCACATTACTTAACATTTTTGGATTGTATTGGAGTGTATCAACGTATTAAATACTAAGGCTTCTAAAACTTGGTTGGTTATATGTTTTAATTTTTCTTTTAAAGAGAATTGGGATTCTTTTTTCTTATAAATACAGTGAAACTTGGGAATAAAATGTATTTGACTTTCTTTTAAAGTGACATCGATGTGGCCCAGCAGTTCAGCTTGAATCAGAGTAGAGTGGAAGAGATAACCATGAGAGAAGAAGTTGGGAACATCAGTATTTTACAAGAAAATGATTTCGGTAAAAAGAGAAATTACTAGCCATTAGTTTTAATGTTATAATTATATCGTGTTGCTAATAGCAATTTCAAAAGAAAACCGGACTATATTAACATTCACATTGATAGAAAGGCTTAAAATTTCATCTAATGTATTTTCATCAAGAAAAGAATTTGGTTTTCCACCAGTAGATTAAGCATTATTTTCATACTTAGAGTTAATTGTTTACCTACTCCTCTCCCTACATATAATCATAGAACCTATATGTTGATTCTGTGAGGAGTCCCAACATTGAAGTAGTGATCACATTTAAACTAACCATTTTGGAATAGTTTCCCTTTTGTACTTGCTATTCAAAAACACGTATTCAAAACTAGTAGCAACGCATACTCTTTTAAAGAGATAGGGTCTCTTCTGTGTTATCCGTGCCGGAGTGCAGTGGCTATTCACAGGCAGCATTATAGGACACTACAGCTTCAAACTGTTGGATTCAAGTGATCCCCCCACCTCAGCCTCAAGTAGCTGGGACTACAGGTACATGCCGCTGTGCTCAGAACCAGATTCTTTTCTTGATGAAATGCATTATAACAGGAAAGTTTAAGCTGTGAATATTAATGTAACTTAACATAAGTACATATTTAGGGTTTATCTAGGATTACTTAAATCTAGATCTAAGTTTGAATCTGCTGGACGTGTCCCAGTATTGTAGCTGTGTGTAATTGAGTCATTTTTTAAAACTTTGATGCTAAAGATTTAAAGCTTAAACAAGATATTTTAACAATAAGACTTCAGTAAGCAAATGTAATATAATTATAATAAATCATTAGCTGTTTTCTTTTATAACTGGTATTTCTAAGCTTTCTGAACTAATGACAAATCAAAATTTGTTTAGGTGATTTTGGAATGGATGATCGTGAGATAATGAGAGAAGGCAGTGCTTTTGAGGACGATGACATGTTAGTAAGCACTACTGCTTCTAACCTCCTGTTAGAGTCTGAACAGAGCACCAGCAATCTGAATGAGAAAATCAACCATTTAGAATATGAAGACCAATATAAGGATGATAATTTTGGAGAAGGAAATGATGGTGGAATATTAGGTATGTGAGAAAATGATGGTTATTTGAACATAAACATAACTTCTTTATTAAGTTTTAAGGTTTTGGAAGCAGTTGCTAATTCTGAGTCTTGAATAGCTATTAGATATTTATGTATGAATTGTGATCAGTTGGCTTAATAAGACATTCTGTAAAACTAGCCTCTTAAAATGTTATAACAAAACCTAAAGATGCTTATCTCGGAGTGCTAAATTTTACTAGTACTTAAAACTGTTCTATTTGTGTTTGATAGCTATGGTAAGTAAATATTTTTTAAAATAGATAAATGAACTAGAAAATACAAGTCAAGAATGAGAATTGTTTTATATACTAAGTGTTTTATACTTTTTAAACTACCTAGAGGAGAAACAGATAAAAATTGAATATATGTTTAAATTTTATCCCTTTTAACTAAATTTTGTTTTTCCAGTGATTGGCTATTGTGGTTTTGGCATTTCTTTTTCAAATTATAGCTAACTTACATTCTCTTATTTCAGATGACAAACTAATTAGTAATAATGATGGCGGAATCTTTGATGATCCCCCTGCCCTCTCTGAGGCAGGGGTGATGTTGCCAGAGCAGCCTGCACATGACGATATGGATGAGGATGATAATGTATCAAGTAAGCATTTCATGTTCAGTGATTCTAGGGATGATCGTATGGCATCCAAAAAGATACTTATCATAGAAGATGGCAAATTAAAAGTTGTTTTTTTAATGAATTACAAATATCCTTAAGTACAGTGCTTATGATTGATTACTGGTTCTGATTCTCTTATATGTTTAATCTTGTGCCCCTCCCCATTTTTTGGCCAGTTGGGTTCAAGTCTGGTGGGGCTTTCTCATAACTAGAAAAATATGTTTTTCTTAGTAATAGCAGGATTTCTTTCCATTTTATGAAGGGTTTTTCTCCCCCCATTTGTAGGATATATATTATATACCCAAGCTTTTTGTGACTGTATTTGTTTTTATAGTGGGTGGGCCTGATAGTCCTGATTCAGTGGATCCCGTTGAACCAATGCCAACCATGACTGATCAAACAACACTTGTTCCAAATGAGGAAGAAGCATTTGCATTGGAACCTATTGATATAACTGGTGAGCTTATGAACCTTTAGATTTGTACAACATTCAACATAAGGTCTTATTTCTGGTTCTTGCCTGTCTACTCATCTGGTACTGTTGTTTTATATAACTAAGCTGCTTTTATGTCAGTCATCTGTCATAATGTCTTTCTTCTATCCAATTATAATTTGAGTATTTTGTAGAAATGTCTGTGCAAGTTGCCGTGAAATATAAAAGTATAGAAGAAGTTTTCTGATAATGAGTATCTTTGTCTCTTGGGGTTCCCAAAACGTTAGCAGCTCACATGTGTAACCACTAGAAAACATTGCAAAGCATTTTTTCAATAAAGTACAATTCTAAAGGCTGTACAGTTGGGTTACAATCTGGAAAAAACTAAAAATATTCTTAAAAAAACAAACCTGGAAGCTGGCATGGGGGCTCACACCTGTAATCCAGTGCTTTTGGGAGGCCAGGGTAGAAAAATCACTTGAGGCCAGGAGCTTGAGACCAGCCTGGGCAGTAAATATAGTTAGTAAGACCGTCTCTTCAAAAAGAATTTTTTGTTTATATATATACTCTTAGAATTTGCCTTTTTTCACATGTTCTGAAAAAAAAATTTTTTTAAATTTAAAAACTGGAAACATCAAAAATTCTAGAATCAGTAATCTTTTTTTATAGTATTTTTTAAGTAACATTGCAAGACACCATTACTTAATTTGGGAGGGCTGCTTCTGAGTGACAATCTGAGATAATGTAATGGGGATATAACAGTTTAAACAATTTTTAGATGGTTTATGAGGACAGTAGGGTAGAATACTTTAAATTAATTACAGTGTAATTTAAGACATACATACTTATTACCTTTAAGTAGAACAAGATTACCCTTTTGTGTTTCCCATTGATTAGGGAAATGGACAATTAAGTAAAATATATACTGTATTAGATAGTGAGATTAGAGAGAGACTGTCACTGTATAACGTCCTTTTGTATTTTATAAGTGTTGAACCAAAAACCTTTGGGGTATGTTTGACGGGGTACAATCTTAAGGATTTTATTTAACCCCATGAGCTTTTCTGCATTTTAAAAAAGTGAGACAGTACAGCCTCCTTGCAAGTTTTAAGGATTGGAAATGACTATTTTAAAATGTCTAGGATGGAGTTGCAGGTCTGTCTGACCAGGCTTGGACTTCTTTCACTCTGTCAAGCAGCTTCTGTAACTGCCATATATGAATTATCACTTTTCCAATAAAAATAATAGTATTTGTAGTCATTAAAGAAAACTCAATTTGTGGCAGATACTATACCAAATATTTTACAACCCCTGTAAGTGATAGGCCCTGTTTCAAATGAGAAAATGAGCCAAACTCTGAATAGAGTGCTCATTGTTTATAGTATAAAACTACATAGGTAAAAATATATTGGCCCTTTCATCATTTTACTTATTTTGTGCTAAAAGTCTATACATAACTCATTCAGCAAATTTTTGTTGAATACCTATTGTGTGCCTCTATTCTATTGTGTGCGTCTATTCTAAAGGGTGAATGGAAACCATCAGTTAAAGCATCCTACCCTCATGAAGTTTACCTTTTCTGCTAGAGTCTGTGTGTAGAAAAGCAGGGGGATATAGTCAGTCTAGATCTTGTAGCTGGCCTCTTAGGAAAATGATCTTATTTTCTATTATCCCAGTTAAAGAAACAAAAGCCAAGAGGAAGAGGAAGCTCATTGTTGACAGTGTCAAAGAGTTGGACAGCAAGACAATTAGAGCCCAACTTAGTGATTACTCTGATATTGTCACTACTTTGGATCTGGCACCACCCACCAAGAAATTAATGATGTGGAAAGAGACAGGAGGAGTAGAAAAACTGTTTTCTTTACCTGCTCAGCCTTTGTGGAATAACAGACTACTGAAGGTAATATAGTTTGCGGAATTTTTACTTAATATACATTTTGAGCATCAAAAAAAAAAACTTCTAAAACCTTTGTTTGCATCATTTTTGATGAAGTGTTTTGCAACTGTATGGCAAGTTTCCTTTTTTCTCCCTTAAATCACAGTGTACTAGCCATAACTTCATCTGAAATATATGGATAAGTGACACCTGCATTTCTAAAAGATGTAAAATGAATTTTCCTTACATTAAAAAGCCACTGACATTTTTAATAGTACTTTTCTCTGTAATAAACTATAAGGTATATTGCCTTAGTGTGCTTTACATCTGAATTCTTTAACTGTTTTCTGAATAAAACATGAGTGGTTCTGGTTTTTCAACAGTAAAGAATTCTGGCTTCAAGAGATTTTTTTTTCCCCCATTTATAGGCTCTTTTCTGCCCACATCCCACAGTATTCCAAAATAAGACTCACAGGTGTCTGGTGAATTAAACAGTGCTGTTAGGCTATTATTGTGTCTCAGGTTGAGATATGCACAGAACTCATTGATTTTACTGTGTATTTAGAATATAGTAATACATTCTAAATCTAAAGTATTTCAGAGCAACAAAGTTGTGCTTTTTATTATAAGCACTGTCATATAATTATTTTTAAGAAGGTCCTTAAAACTATTTATTTGACTCAGTAATTAGTAGAAATTTTTCCTAAGGAAGAAATTTAAGGTATATAAAAGCTATCTCTATGAAAACATTGATTACATTGTTGCTTACAGTTTAAAAAGAGAGAAATAATTTAAAAAGTATAGGAATGGCTCAAAATGGAATATTATGTAGCCATTAAAAATAGGTTAAATGAGGCCACAAGTGGAGGTTCACGCCTGTAATCCCAGCACTTTGGGAGGCTGAGGCTAATGGATCACTTGAGGTCAGGAGTTTAAGACCAGCCTGGCCCAACATGGTGAAATCCTGTCTCTACTAAAAATACAAAAGTTAGCCAGGTGTGGTGGTACATACCTGTAAGCCAGCTACTCAAACAGCTGAGACACAATTACTTGAACCTGGGCGGCAGAGGTTGCAGTGAGCTGAGATTCTGCCACTGCACTCCAGTCTGGGCAACAAAGTGAGACACTGTCTTAAAAAAGAAAAAAAAATAGTTTAAATGATAGCTAATGAGGTTACTATATAATAAGTGGAAAAAAAACACAATTTAAAGCTATTTGCTATGAGACCAGTTAGAATGAGTTTTAGTTTATGAATAGGAAAATAAACTGCAGGCAGATAAATAGAAAACCCCTTAAGGTTGTGAAATAATGGATAAATTTTGTTTATCTAAAATGTCTGCAGTTACAATTTGAAAACTAAACTCATTTAAATTCATTTTCAGATGGAATGATGTGTGAATATGATTATGTAAAAGCCATGATAAATTATACATTTATTGTATTTATTAGAACATACATTTGGAAGATGGAAATCAGTGGTGACTTTTCGGTTAGATTTATTTTATAATTAAATTTTTCCTTTTTTTTTCTTATAGCTCTTTACACGCTGTCTTACACCGCTTGTACCAGAAGACCTTAGAAAAAGGAGGAAAGGAGGAGAGGCAGATAATTTGGATGAATTCCTCAAAGAATTTGAAAATCCAGAGGTTCCTAGAGAGGACCAGCAACAGCAGCATCAGCAGCGTGAAGTTATTGGTTTGTTCTATTGGAATAGTTCTCTGATGAAGTTCACATGAGTATTTGGCATATTTGGCTTAAAATTTACCTTTATACAATCAGAGTAAAAGAAATAAGGAATGAAAGATATACTGAAATGTTTGGGCAGGGAATTGCATTGGATCTGATTGCCTTATTTAAGTATGAAGTTTCCTGTCTTCCCAGAGGTTTAAGGTTCAGAACTGGCAGGGTAGATAGTCTGCTAAAGAATTGTCCTGGGCGGGCGCAGTGGCTCAAGCCTGTAATCCCGGCACTTTGGGAGGCCGAGGCGGGTGGATCACGAGGTCAAGAGATCGAGACCATCCTGGTCAACATGGTGAAACTCCGTCTCTACTAAAAATACAAAAAATGAGCTGGGCATGGTGGTGCGTGCCTGTAATCCCAGCTACTCAGGAGGCTGAGACAGGAGAATTGCCTGAACCCAGGAGGCGGAGGTTGCGGTGAGCCGAGATCGCGCCATTGCACTCCAACCTGGGTAACATGAGTGAAACTCCGTCTCAAAAAAAAAAAAAAAAAAAAAGAATTGTCCTACATTGTACTGTGGGTAGAACTTGTCCTTTTAAGGCCCCCTCCCCCTTTTATGTATATTGCTAAAACTTGAGTGATCTTTATGGAGCTAAACTTTTATTTATTCTTCTTCATTAGAGAAAGCACTACATATGTCTTAGTGTACTGCTTTAAAAAAATAAATGGTTCTATAATGCTGTTCAAACTGTATGACCTACATTTTCTCTTCATATGACCAATTGCAGATGAGCCTATTATGGAAGAGCCAAGCCGCCTCCAGGAGTCAGTGATGGAGGCCAGCAGAACAAACCTAGATGAGTCAGCTATGCCTCCACCGCCACCTCAGGGAGTTAAGCGAAAAGCTGGACAAATTGACCCAGAGCCAGTGATGCCTGTAAGTAAGCAAATCTATACATTAAGTCATTTGAAGATATTCATACAGTCAGTAGCAAGTGGTATTTAGAGAGCCCTTTTAAAGTATCTTGGTTTTGGCAGAAAATGGTAAGGAATGAGTCCAGAGGAACAAGAGAAACTGGATATACAGACAGTCTGCTTCAAGTAGGAGAAGATGTTCTGGGAGTCTGCAGTCTTTCTGACTTTTTGAATCGTGTTGCTTTAGAGTGGTCCAAAGTGAGCATCCTTGACTCTGAAGTTCGTTCTGATTTATTCTTTGGCAGACATTCCTGCATACCTTCAGTACTAGACAGTTTTAGATCCACTTACTAAGTAATCAGAATAGACTTGTCAAATACCTGAGAAAATGTAAAGCGGTATCTGTCTACTTCATTCACACTTTGACTGCTATTAAATTCGGCTAGGATAGGAAAGCTAAGCAAGTATAAAGGAAGTAGTAGGGTTTGCTTTAGGGTTTTCCAATCTTAAGTCTATAGGATAAATGAATTTGAGCAAAGGGAGGCTTTTTGACCACCTTAGGCTTCTTGTTCAGCCTCCATCAAGAATACTCTGCCAATTTTAAGAACTAGTGTTTGTGCCCTCTGGTGGTAGGGAGTTGTCAGTAAGAGCATTTTTCTGTATAAGCTCAGGAATGGGAACACAGTAATGAGTAGTGACTCTCATACTGTCTTTCTGGTAATTCTTTGGTTTCTTAAAGACTTTGGTTTTAATGGTCTTAATTCTTTATGTTAAACCTGAGAGAAAATAAATACAGGAAGTGGACCCAGAAAAACAATTTTCTCACTTCTACTATTTGCTGCCATCAGACATTCAAGACTCTCAGAGTGAAAGCTTATGATTTTTAAGTAACCATATGATAACCTTACAGAAGCTTTAGTGGTAAAAAGTGTTTTTGACTCCTAAAAAGTAATTATAAAAATGAAACATGGTTTAAGATAATGATGAAATTTTTTTCCTAAGCTACTTTAGTTTTATAAAAAATCAAAAAGAAGATATATACTGTAATAAATTTTTGCTTGTGGGGAAGTATGAAGATACAACCTCAGTATTTGTTTTCGGCTAGAAAACTTCAGCCACTGTGTATTTGTGTAGTTAAAATGAGCTACCTTTAAAACATACATCTTAAATTGTCTTATTTGTATTGCTTTAAGCCTCAGCAGGTAGAGCAGATGGAAATACCACCTGTGGAGCTTCCCCCAGAAGAACCTCCAAATATCTGTCAGCTAATACCAGAGTTAGAACTTCTGCCAGAAAAAGAGAAGGAGAAAGAGAAGGAAAAAGAAGATGATGAAGAGGAAGAGGTAAACTGGTTAATAATTTCCATTCCAGATTTAGGAAAAACATCCAACTTTCTTTTATTTTTCATATTGGAGCTAACTTAATTGATGTTGAGCATCAGAGTTACTAGAAAAAATTTTGAATACAAGCAAAATTTTACCAAAATGCCTAGTGGCATAGATCATTAGGAACATGAAATTTTATACTTTGCTGTAACTCATTGGCTCCCTTGTGGGCTTTTGAAAGACTGGAATTGCCCTTACACTGATTCTTTGTCTGACTTCTAAATTGCTTGTAGCTGCTTTTACTATCTTGTGGTCAGTGGTCGATTCTTACTGCTATTATCATCTGCATCTGATATAACCTCTTCTGTATCTGTGGTGGCCTGAAAATCAGATAACCATATATTTTCCACTTGTCTGGGATTCGTTTCTGTTTTTCTTTTACTTAAACCAGGGTAAAGCATGACTTCGCTAAAACACTTAGATTGAGTGAAGACTTGAATGACTTTCACTTTTTACAAAGTAAGAGATGCTTTAGGAAATAATTTCTTTTTCCTGGGGCATGTTTAAAGGGTTCAAGGTCTTTCTTGTTCTTTCTTCTTGTTTCTTCTTCCTTATTTCTGGATCATCGAGGTTATTGTTTAAGACTTAGAATTTATTCTTGTTTGATGTTCTGTCAGATATGTTACTTAAACCTTTAAATTTAAAATAAGATGTCCTTTAGGTAGCATTGAAGGGGTTTAAATTTCTTGCAAGACTAAAAAAGGTTATGGATTGGATAAATTTTCATTAGCATCTGTTCTTAATTCTAATAATACCTAGCACTTATCTTTAATATGAATACCTTATTTAAAGCCAAAATTAGCTTTAGAGCTACGCTAACCTATGAATTAGGTGTGCCATTACCCCAGACTTAGTTGTGAATGAATATTAAAGTTGTTGTGGTTTCTGTTATGTCGGGTATATAGTTTCAGCATACATAGCCTAGGAACATCACAACTGTTGCCTTGCACTCACCTTGGACTTTAAGAAGGCATTTAGGCAGCATGTGGCCGAGAACTAGGTTGCTCAAGTAAGATGTAAGGATTATAGCCCATTCATTTTCAAACACCATATAGACCAATAATAAATCCTCATCTTAGCTAGTCTGCAGGCTCTTTGGTATTGCTCCACAATGAGATTAGGAATCTGCCAGAACATAAGTCATCTAGAAAATCATGTTGCAATATTTATGTACTATTTTAAGTTGAAATAAACAGTATATTTAGTGGTACAGTTGATTATATGCTTAAGTTCTTTAACAGGGGCCAGTAACCAAAAGCTCTGTGATCAGTAGCAGTCCACAGACCCTGCACAGTGTGTGTAGGTAGCATCCTTATAGAGCAATATAGAAGTATACTTTCAGCCAAATGTTTGCTTGCATATACACAGAGGACTTTCCTTTGTAATTTAAGGAAGACAAACTCTGGAGTTTATACTCTAGATGCTAAGTGATTTCTCAGCAGCATTAAGTACATTTCTTATTAGTCCAAAATATACAATCTCAAGGTAATTTAGAGCTTTTAGGAGATGTAAAAATACCTCATTTTGCATTGGACTTCTTTTATCAGCTTTTTGGGGGTCATTTTCATTCAGGATGAAGATGCTTCAGGGGGTGATCAAGATCAGGAAGAAAGGAGATGGAACAAAAGGACTCAGCAGATGCTTCATGGTCTTCAGGTATTTCTTCTGTTGTCTTAGAGACAAATGCTCCATCAAAGACTTTTGGCATTATTCCCTGAAAAAAAAAAGAGTTACGTGCTGGAAAAAAAAAGCATACCTTTGTGAAACTTTTTCTAAAACTGCATTATTTTTAAATGTTTAAATTAAATACATAAGCTGTTAGGCCAAGGGTAAGCCTGAAAAGCATGCAGGGGAATGCTTGTGGTTGTCCTGAAAAGCAGAACCATGGAGACATATTACAGAACGCCTGTGTGTCCCTGCACCTTCTTGTTTTTTGTTGAGTAAATTTAATTTGCTGAATCATTAAATTTATTGAATCATTGGGTAGCATCAGCTGTCAGTCACTTTTCCTTGGACCAATGTCATAGACACAGACAATCTTGAATATCTATGAAATGCCAAGCAAATTGCTCAAGGTTTCCTAAAATAGGATAGCTGACATTAAAAAAATTTTTTTTTACTTTAAAAACTATAAGTGCTACATTTTAATGTCATATTACATTAGCTGTCCAAAGAAATTGGTTATTTTAATAATACCTGTCAAAACACTTAGACTTTCTTCTTTGGATTTTAGATGTACCATAATGTACCTTGGCCCTTTACCCTATTGATTAACATGAGAATCACATACTGTTTTTAAAAGTCCAGTCTTTGTCCTGAGGAGAATATACAGTTTGTTTTTTTCCAGTAACCAAAATTGGCATTTGTGTTAGTCTGTTTTGTGTTGCTCTAAAGGAATACCTGAGTCTGGGTAATTTATAAAGAAGAGTTTTTTGGCTTACAGTTCTGCAGACTATACAAGAAATAAAGCACCATCATCTGCTTCTGGTGAGGCCTCAGAAAGCTTACAGTCATGGTGGAAGGCAAAGGGGGAGCAGGTGTGTCACATGGCAAGAGAGATGCTAGGCTCTTAAACAACCAGCTCTCATGTTAACTAATGAGCAGGTTGTTTTTCAGGTTGTCCTGAAAAGCAGAACCATGGAGACATATTACAGAACGCCTGTGTGTCCCTGCACCTTCTTGTTTTTTGTTGAGTAAATTTAATTTGCTGAATCATTAAATTTATTGACTCATTGTGTAGCATCATAAGGGATCCACCCCCACCCCCTGACACAAACACCTCTCACTAAGCTCCATCTCTGACACTGGGGAATCACATTTCAGCATGAGATTTGGTGGGGACAAATACTTGACTATATCAGCATCCTCACTGAATTACTACTTTTATTATACAGGTTACTTTAAGTCATCCTCTTTTTTTTTTTTTTTTTTTTTTGTTTTATTTCAGCGTGCTCTTGCTAAAACTGGAGCTGAATCTATCAGTTTGCTTGAGTTATGTCGAAGTACGAACAGAAAACAAGCTGCCGCAAAGTTCTACAGCTTCTTGGTTCTTAAAAAGCAGCAAGCTATTGAGCTGACACAGGAAGAACCATACAGTGATATCATCGCAACACCTGGACCAAGGTTCCATATTATATGAGGAGCTAGAAGCATTACAGCTAGTGTTCGTTTCACTAGTGCTTACAAATTGCCCCCATGTGTAGGGGACACAGAATCCTTTGAGAAAACTTAGATTTTTGTCTGTACAAAGTCTTTGCCTTTTTCTTTCTTCATTTTTTTCCAGTATATTAAATTTGTCAATTTCATCTTTGAGGGAAACTAATTAGATGGGTTGTGTTTGTGTTCTGATGGAGAAGACAGCACCCCAGGGACTCAGAAGATGATTTTAACAGTTCAGAACAGATGTGTGCAATATTGGTGCATGTAATAATGTTGAATGGCAGTCAAAAGTCATGATTTTTATCTTCTTCTTCATTACTGCATAGAAAAGGAAACCCTGTCTGGGAAAATGCCTGACAGTTTAATTTAAAACTATAGTATGAGTCTTTGACAAGGAAAAAAAAGCCTTTCCGTCAGTAACACTGGCAGTCTTCCTGTTAACCATTTTCCTTAGGGATGGTATGGGAAACAACTAAGGTCACCCTCTTGAGATTCGTTTTTAAGTGTAATTCCATAATGAACAGAGGTGTTACGTGAAATTGTGTTGTGACTGATAACCTTCAGCTACAAAAAGATAGAGGACTGACTTGGTTTGAAGTGTTCTATTTTGTAAATCATTCCATTTGAGTCTTTCTGATGAACTTGGCTATCCTGAAATCTGTTACTTTAGTGAGGCTCCAAAGTGAGCACAAATAGGCCTAATTAGAGTAGAGTGACTATGAAAAAAACATAGCTTTCTAGGAGCTATAAATCAGAATTTTTTAAAAAGATGTTTTGGATATATTTGAGTATTCAGATCATGAAAATAGAAATTGCCCTGCCTATTACAAGGACATACTGATGGGAAATTATACACCTGGTCAGCTTAACCTTTAAGCAGACGATGCTGTACAAACTAATGGCTTCTCTGATATTTATTAAAAGTTTTAGTACTTACCTCCTTTTCCAGTGCTGCACACTCCTGTGTTTGGAACTTTAATAGCTTCGTAACGAATCCTATGTCTAGTTTCCTATAATTTAATTGAAAAAAAAAATCCAAATAAAGGTTTTATTATTAACAGACCAGAGAGCATCAGAAATCATGTGACTATTATTACCAGAATATGTCTTAACTTTTTAGGGCAAGATTAACACTGAAAGTTCTAGCCTAAGTGTTGAAACTTTTGTGGGAAAAAAGTCACTTTTGAAAATCAGACTTCAGTGTATACCCAATAATTTTAAATTATGTGAAATGTTTTAAATTTGTGAACTCGTAATTACTGTTTTAATGATTCAGTTTCTTGAGAGTGATAATTGTATAAAATTGCAATTGCAGCTTTATTTTCAATATGATGTGCCTGTAAACCAAGGAGTTTTCCCCGTTTGTAAAAAGACATTGTAGATAATTGAATGTTTGATTTTAGAAAGGTCGTTAGTTCTTGTTACACATTTTGTTAGTCTGGTTTTTGTTGCTTATCAGGTTTAATATTGTTCTTGAAAATAGTTGATGCTATGTTATGTATAACTTTTCTAATAAAAGTTGTGTTATAAGCTGTACTTTTTTGAGTATTTGTTATTTAATTGGTGGAAGTCCCCAAGGGAAAAGTTGGCTGAAAAATTTAATATAGCCAAACACCTCATTTGTTTGCCTTATCTAGAAGAGTTACCCATATAAACCACGTGAATTTTTCAAAAGAGGTCTTAGACTGAAAAATGGAAGACTAGAATAGCTTGTCTCCAACTTTTTGTTAACAGAACTATGTGATCTGCAATTTTCATAAATGTAATAATTATGTGTGAAGTATTAAGATTAAAAATGAAACCAACAAATGGCTGGTATGGAGGAAGCTTTGGGACATGAATATGTTTCTGTAACTGCTAAGTACATACAAACTATGACATCCTTATGGATGTACATCGTCAGTGCTCCAAGCAAGCTAGGTGGGTAGCCAGGTGCTGGAAATGTCCTTGGTTGATCTGAGATGCCTAACTGAAAACCAGGACATTCAGTAACCTGACATGTACCCACTTTTACATTCTAGCCTAGGATTAGTCCTGTTGCCCACCCCTCCCAGCCCCCACTAAACTTTAAAGCATTGAGATTTTATGGTTTAAACCCTGATTTGAGTGTAAATTTGTTACTGTTTTTAGTAGAAAAAAAAAATCAGGTTTTATTAAGCACCAATTATCCTAAAACCCAAAGCAGCTTTAATTGGGGGCTCACTGCCATAGATGCTTATAGTGAGGAATTATCATTAATGTGAAAGTGATGAGAGCCTAGAATACAGTATATGCCACAGTACCTGGGAGAAGTTCACAAAGAAAAGATTCTCAGATGATAAATAGCATTTGCTGAAATTTAAAAGATGGCTCTGCATAGTAAAGTGAAATGGTGGTGGTTAGCCAGAGCAGAACCATGAGTGTTTGACTTGGAATTCAAAGGCCTAGCTATAGACTGACAGTAGAATCCACTCTCATGACTGTCCTGAAACTTGGAGTTTCCAGAGTGGTGCAGTAGAAAGAGCAATGGGCCAGAGCCCTGGGCCCCTAACTGTAATCTTGACTATAGAGCCTAAAACTCCAGAAGATTCATTCTGTATCCAGGTCTACATCTTAAATAAAATGGAAGTCATGTCCCATCGGTTTCCATTTCCAAGAATTGTGAAAACCCTATGAGCTAATTAAAAGCAGTTTGAAAAGCAACTAACATTTGTATGATGAAGATAATGGCTTTAATTCAGGCCACTTAGGTGCATGCACTTGGGCAAGGGTTTAAACCTTTCTAATCCTAGAGTACCATACGTGAGGTGGACACCTCTACTTGGAGGAACTACATGCCCTTTAACTTGATTTCTTCAAAACAGTTAATTCTACTTTACTACTTTAGACCTCCCTAATGCTTCGTCTTGGTGAGTGGCTCCTTCACCTTCCATGTCCCCTTGACCTGGTGATTCAGTGTTCCTACATTTCAAATAACCATTCCTCTGCTCAGACTATTGAAGACTTGCAGAGATTACTTCAACAGCTCCAGTTACTCAAAAGATAAGACTTTCCTCTAAACACACTAGAGTCAACTGGCAAGTCAGCAGAGGAACATTTAAACAGGGAGGACAGGAAGATTTTTATTTCAAGACCAAGTACCCAGGAGCTATCTGCCCTGCTTTCCATACTCCCCCTGCTGATCTCCCAGCTATGCTCCAGGTCATGCGTCCAAACATCTAGGCAGCCAGGCAGGTAATGGAAATGAGTGAAGCGGCCAGGTGACCAGACCAGCAGTGGAGGGTGAGGAAGAACAGTGCTGAACTGGATGAAACATGGCAGGGGTCCCCTTTCAGCTGAGCGCAGCATCTGCTAAAATGTCACCAACTGCTGGTTCAGAAAAGGAGACAGAGCATTGCCTCATTTGGGGATTTAACAGGAAAGGCCAGAGATCCTGATTTTAAACGTGATATATGATTCAAAACTGTTTCAATACTATGCAGGCCACACACACCTTGGCAGAGAGATCCAGCTCAGAAACCTCAGGCTGGCCGCTTCTGTTAAGCTTTGAGGACTACAAGGAAAGCAAGTTGTGCCACTTCAAGAAGCAAGACTTTCTGTGCTCTTTCCTGTCACTGCTTCAAAGACCACAGACTAGCTACTTCCTCTTAAAGAATGTGGTCCGATTTTTTCAAGACCCTATTTGATGTTCCAGGCCCACAGGGAACATCCTCACCTGACTTTATTTATGCTTCAGGTGTGCCCTTTTAACTTTGTATGACAGCTGTTTTATCACATTCCCAACCTAATGGAAATGTCTTCGGAAAAGCAGGACTTGAAAAATGTAAATCTAAAGACAAAAGTCTCATTTCCTCAAAATCCTCCAAAGCCAAACAATGCAGGGATTCTCAGATGTTAGTTAGCTCAAGAGTCAGGTGGAAGATTGTATATCTGTAGGTTTTTAGCCAGGGAATCTGCAGACAATTCCCAGGTCGTTTTCAGATACTGGAATTCAGCCTTATCCTCTGAGCTGTCATTTCAAATGCCTGGCCAGCATCTGGACCTGCGGCTGGTGGGCGGAAGTGCCCTCCGTGATCAGCTGTTACTTATGCTCTAGGACTAATTAGCTCTCAATTGGCCAACAGCTGTTCAGTGGGAAATTCTCATACAGTTCAATGTACCCGTTTGCTCTCCAATTTGAGCTAACTGGCACATTGTTATTTCCAGAAGGCATCTGGCCAAAGGGGCTCTCAGGTCCTGTTCTAATTACCCCAGCTGTGATAGTCTCCTATGTACTATGAAAATGAGTCAGGGCACCAATGAGTGGCCAGTAATCAACAATGATCATCAAAACAGCAACACAGCTTCTGTAATTTACTGAGTGAGTTTGGTCCAGTGGTTGAGAACATTGGTTGGAATCCAAGAGAGGTGAGTTCAGGATTAGGTCTGCCTCTAATTAGAAACTGCGGTGACTGTCTTAACTTCCTTAACTCTTGGTTCTCTCCTGAGGAAGCTCGTAAGGCTTCTGTGAGGATTAAATAACGTAATGCAAGGAAAGTACTTAGCATAATGCCTGGCCAGTGGTAATTACTGTGTACTAGCTGTTTTTCAGGCCAAAATACTTAACTGAGTGCTTTACCCTGAGCAAGGAATGATGCCAGAACTAGGTGTACTGATGTGAACAAAATACACACAGTTCCTTTAAGTTTTTAGGAAGTTCAAGAAAGTCAAGGCATCTCCAGAGAAGTAAACCTTCCTTCAATTCCCCCAGAGAAACTATTCCCCCATCTTCTCTATTTCCACAATATTTTATTCATAACTGATGACACTTTTCATAATATACTTTGCCTGTCTACTTCTCTTGACTACTTGACTATGGATTTTTGAAAGCTTGTCTATAATCCCAGAACTACCTAATCCAGTGTGTGACTCAATGAGCGTGATCAATTTTGTTGGCTTCAGCCAATGACCATGGTAAAGGACAAAAATAACTCCCTTGAAGCCAATTTCTGTGAAAATTGGTTTTGAGAGTAGAATATGAATTCTTGCCGTTTCTAAACATACAGTTCCTGTAAGTTTTGGTAAGTGTGTGTTATTTTGCTTAGAAAACAAAGAAGGGGCAGGAGCAGTGGCTCACACCTGTAATCCCAGCACTTTGGGAGGCCAAGGCTGGCAGATTGCCTGAGGTCAGGAGTATGAAACCAGCCTGGACAACATGGTGAAACCTGTCTCTGCTAAATACAAAAACATTAGCCAGGCATGGTGGCACACACCTGTAATCCCAGCTACTTGGGAGGCAGAAACAGGAGAACTGCTTGAACCCAGGAGGCAGAGCTTTCAGTGAACCAAGATGGCACCACTGCACTGTAGCCGGGGTGACAGAGCTAGACTCCATCTCAAAAAACAAAACAAAAAACAAAAAAATAAATAAATAAAAAACCAAGGGAGAATAATTTACCACCTTCTCTCTCCCATCAGTCACAGGTTCACTTTTGGAACATGAGTTACCCATTATCTTCCAGGCCCACCAAGCTATCCCCTATCTCACCTATCAAAAGTCTCCTATGGGGTGTGCCCTTTAGAAACTCGTTCAGAGCCCACCTAGCAGAGGGTGGTTGGATCAGAACCAAAGGCTAATGGCCCCCGATTCAGTTGACACATTGAGCAGTTGGGAAGAGAGCTCCAAACCGAGCACCTCAGAGTTCAAACATGTGGTAAAATACAGGAGAATACTTGATTTGGGATTCCAAATCCCTACAATAATTCTTGGGTATGAAACCTTCCTTTCCAGGACACAACAGTGTCATTTTCTTCATGCTGGTTGGAGGGTTATAGCAGGTGGTAAATTCTGAGTTTCTTTCCCCTAAGCCATCTAAAATTTGTTTAGATTGACTCTGCTGAAATAACAGAGACTGCCAGATTCCCTTGATTATAGAAGTTGTGTATGAAATGTCATCCTCTGCGCTACCAATCCTCATGATCACAATGAGTGCTAAACAAGATAATGTATGCACATGTACTTTGCAATCTGGAAAGCTCCACAAAAGCAGTTACTATAATAACAAGGTAGCTTCCTTGGGAAGAAGAGTCACCATAAGAGATGAAGATAACATTATGCCTTCATTTGAAAGTCAATTTCAGCAAGGTAAGAGGTTGCAAGATAGTTCAGGTTGATTTCTTGTGGGAAACATTATAAGCTTAAAAGTCTCGGGGAATTTCAGCAGTTAAGGCTTTTCTTGAAGGGACCCTAGGGCAGAAGCAGCTTTCCCCAAACTTCTTGAAACTTTGTCCCGGTTGATAGTCTCCATAAACATAACACTAAAATTAATAAAGAAAAGAGGGGGATTTCGACTCAACATTTACTGAACAGCAGACACCATGCTAGGTGCTAATAGCATACAAAGACATAATCTTTGTGATTATACCGTCAAAGATTAGAAGGAAACTGGCATATAAACTACATCTTGAAGAATTAGTGGGATTTATTCAACAGGCATGCAAGGGACAGGAAGAAAGGGTGTTCCAAGAAGAAAGGGTGTTCCAAGAAGAAAGAACAGTACAGGCAAAGTCACGGAGGT